AAATCCAGCCGCAAACACGGTTAAGACAATGAGTACTCGTTTTCTTATAATCCTCTTGGCTGGATTTGACCCCGCCCCATCCCACAGGTCCAACTCCAGCCGGTTGGAGGTGCTAGCTCCCTGCAAATGCTTGTTAAGAAAATACTAAGAAAATGAGTGGGCACTGGACTTCTGAGAGCCACATTCTCATGGAAGAGCAAGCTAAGAAAATGAGTGACCTCTGAGCTCACGGACTTGTTTTCTTACCCAACGCTTGCACTGTATAGGGGCCTGAATAATTAGAGTAAGGTTTTGGGGTATATTATACTTGTACATTATAATAAGGAACCCCTCCCCAGAATAGTGGAGGTAATTGTTTAGGCCCCTATAGCACCCTTCACCCCAAGCCCCGATAACTAAACTCCTTGAACCCCAAAAACCCTGAATGCCCTCAACATGCCTGAACCCCGAACTCGAACACCCAAAATTAAAGGAAACTACGCGTGGGGAGTTTGGGGTATATAGGGCTTCTATAAGGCTTATAAACCTTCTATAAGGCTCCTATAACGGTAGCTACCCACCTGAACATGTCCTAGACAAAACACAGCACCCACACCCCGAGGGCCTAGCGCTATAAAGCAGACCTAAACTCTACACCCAACGCCTAAAGCCCCCTCTACTAAAACCCATGTTTGCTCAATCTTAAACATCCTTAATCTGTATCCTTTATAGTGGAACCGTTAGCAGAAACCCCGTAAAGGTCAAACCCTCAAAACCCTGCAAACACATGAACAACCTTAAAATCTTGAGCAAGGAGCCCCTTAGAAGGAACCCTTCAAGGCTCGCTGCTGGGCTGCGACCTGCTTTTTCCCTAAACCCTAAACTCTATAACCCCTACACCCAAAACCCTGAACACTAAACCCAAGCAGACCTGAACCCCTCAAGACCTAAACTAAAGCCCTGGATCCCACACCCCTAAACACCTAAAACCCCTAAAAACCCAAAGACCCCAACACTCCAAAACCCCCTGACAAACCTAAACCCCTCAACCTAAAACACGGAACCCTAAACGCCTACAAACCTATATAAACCCCCACCGACCTAGAACCCTGAACCCTGAACTCCTAAACCAAAACAAACCTAACACCCTGAACACCAAACCTCTAAAGACCCAAAACCCCGAACCCAAAACCCCCATAAATACCACCACCCCCCCACCGCCTAAACCCTAAGCCCTAAACCCTAAACCCTAAATCCTAAACCCTGATAATCCCCCTGAAATGCCTTGCAGCCCGGCTGCGACCTGCTTTTTGAGATTTGGCAGGAAGCCGAAGTTGTGGCTGTCGCCCTCTTGGAGCGCCTTGATGGTCTCCTTTTGCGGGATTTTGGGGCCCTTTTTACGGTTTCGGGTTTCGGGTTTAGGGGGGGATTTCGGGGCTCTTGGGTTTTTTTTGGGGTGTGGGCTTTAGGGTTTGGGGCTCTAGGGGGGCTTAGGGCGCTTTAGGGACAGGTTTACTGCTGAGAGTTCTGGGTTTATGGGTCTTGGGGTTTAGGGCTTTGGGCTCTGATGGTCTCCTTCCCAGGTTTAGGGCTTCAGGCGTTAAGGGTTTTTGGGGTTTTGGGGGCTCTTGGGTTCTTCAGGAAGGACTTTTGGCTTTGGAGTAAGTCTTTAGGCGTTAAGGCTTAGGTGTTTTAGGGCTTGGCTTTGGAGTTTAGGGCATTTGGGGGTTTAGGGGTCTTTGGGGCTTTGGGGCTTCGGGGTCGTGGCGGAGCCTGCGGGTCCTTACAGGGCCTCGGGGGTTTGGGGTCCAGGTTTTAGGGTTTAGGGTGTTGGGGTGGTTGGGTCTTTGGGGTTCACGGCTTTAAAGTTTAGGGTGTTGGGGTGTTGGGGGTGGTTGGGTCTTTGGGGTTCATGGTTTTGAAGCCCATTCCATTCCCCCTGTGTTTACCTTGGTTTGTGTGCCCCTAAACCCTAAATCCCAAACCCTAAACCCTAAAACTCCTGCCGGGTTTTTCTACGGTTTAAGCTCCAAGGGACGAGGTTTGGGGATTTCCGGCTGAAAGGCCTGGAGGCTGGGGTTCAGGGTTTTTGAGCCCGTTTAGGGGTTCAGGGTTTAGGGATTAGGGGTTTAGGGTTTAGGGTTTTAGGGTTTCGGGGTTCAGGGTTTTAGGGGTTTAGGGTTTAGGGGTTTAGGGTTTGGGGGTTTAGGGTTTAGGGTTTTATTTTTAGGGTTTAGGAATTAGGGGTTTAGGGTTTAGGGGTTTAGGGTTTAGGGTTT